GACCTGAGCTATAATGATAAAAACCTGAGTTATTACTATTGTCATCTGCATTATAATAACCTGAGCTATAACTGCAGTCACCTGTGCTAAAACTACACTACCTGAGCTATGGACTCTGTATATAAACTACAGTCACCTATATAACTGTATAACTACAATCACCTGGACAAAACTATAGTCACCTGAGCTGTAATTACAGTCACCTGAGCTAGGGGTAGTACAGTGAAACGTTTCTCATGTAGTACCTCTGCTCGATAAGATCTTTCACAGGGACTGTCTCGATTTCAGATTACAAGCAGGCCATTCATGTTGTTTAGCTGCTCATTTAGCTGCTGGTAGTTTAATGATCCAAAAATCCCATTGAGCCATTCTTCTCAGGTTCAGGGAATTCTGCAGGTTCAGCAGAGTGGCTGGGAGTTTGTTTCTGACCTCTAGAACTCTCTCAGTAGGAAGGGAATCCTGTTTTCTCACCTAAACAGAATTTCCACTTGTGTCTTTATCAGTACTGAATTGCAAGATGTCCCCTCTATCGATCTGATCAGCAGCTTTCAGTGTTTTGACTGATTGAGTCCGGCCCCTGGGTAATGTCTGGTCCGTGCTGAGCAGATCCAGCAGCTTGAGTCTGTGAAGCAGGACACTCCGGGCCACTCTGCAGAGTCCGATCTGCGCTGTGTCTCCCCCAGCCTGGCAGCAGGGCTCCCCTCCCCTCCACAGCGCCCCCTACCTGTCGGGGGGGCAGTTCCGGGCGCTGCTGCAGGCCGTGCTGTGGGAGCTGCCCCCGGAGGGCGGGCAGGAGGGCGGGTTCCAGGGGCTGCTGGCGTTCCTGGCGGAGAGCGCGGCGCGGTCGCTGGCGGAGAGGACCCGGGGCGCGGCCCGCAGGAAGTGGCTGGCGCAGGTTCAGCGCGCGGCGGAGAGGGGGGGCGCCAGCCTGGAGCCGCTGTACAGAGTCGTCTTCCAGACCCTGCACAGGGTGAGCCTCCTCGACGATAGTTCTCCACTGTCATGTCCGATTCCGGCACATCGGTTCTGGAGCAAACTGGTGGTTAAAAGCGAGCGGGTATGACTGACAGTTACACACAGCACGGACCCAGGAGGAAGCAGGCAGCTTGCAGGGGAACGTGGGTAAAGACTCGAGCACCCCGAGTCTCAGAAGGTGGCGCGGAACAGCAGAGCCCCAAGACACGCCCAGAGAGGTGACTCAGAACCTTAACCACTCCCTCTGACACTTCTGGCCTCACACAGGTTGTTTGTTTGTTGTTTATCAAAACCTTGTCTGGTTGCCAATTCAATTAACAACTTAATTAAGATCTGCAGAACCTAACTGTAGACCAGTCTTTGCTGCCCCCTCTTCTTTGATCCAAGGAGTGTCCGAATGACTTGAACTCTGACCTCAGCCCGCCCCACTGCTGTCTGATTGGCAGGACGCCGAGACTCATGGGAATGGGAAGCAGATCAGCGCCTCTCTCTCGCTCCTGGAGGGGGGCGACCGGCTGCGCTATGTGGCCTGCACTGCAGAAGATGCCCCCTATGTGCTAAATCGGGAACTGCGGCGGGAGGTGGCGCCAGTGAGGTGAGGGCACTTACCTTCCGTGGGCTGCTGTGATCCGGACCCTGGTCCTGGAGAGCTACATTCTTCACATGTCCATCCCACACCAGCACTGGCTTAATTCGGTCAATCAGAGCGAGGCTCAGCTATTGCACTCCGGCTGTGCTGATCCCTGCGAATTCCCCAAACATGGGAATCTCGACCGCATGAGTTCTGCTAGGGTTCACCTAAAATGCGACTTCTAAAAAGTCTCCTGAAGGAGGCTGCACAGCCAGAAAAAAAGCATTTTTCTTGTTTGGAAGTGGTTCAAAATGACATGTGAGCTAGTGCACCCGAACAAGCGCAATTCTACTGGCTTTGAAATCTTATCTAGATTGTGTGCATATATATGTTTTAGGTATATATAATACTTCTACAGTCTCCCTTTTGTAATTTTTTATATTTGTTTGTGAAAAGAAAAGAAAATTCTTGAAAATGTTGTTGTTTTAACCAGTCAGCTTGAAGGTTTTCAGTCAATGGCGATTCTAAGATCTTCTATAAGACTTGCAGTGATGCGCAGGGTCTTCACTGTGCCCAGAGCTCTGTGGGAAATGCAGTTTGGTGCTGGTTTCTCAAGACTCTCTGCTCCTACTCTTTTCCGCCTCCTCCCCCCCCCCAGTTTTGCCGCGATAGACGATGGGAAGCCCGTGCATGTCCCCCGAGTGCGTCTCCACGGCAACATTCATTTCTTCAACACCGTGCGGCCAGAGTCGGAGCAGAAGGGGTCATTTGTTGCAGTGCCCCTTAAGGACCCCCGCGGGAGGGTGTTCGGAGTGCTGGGTGTGGACACCCTGAGGGAGCCCCAGGAGCGGAACATCTTCCTGAGGCACGAGATAGACTTCTACCAGGTACACTGCAGAGCCTCAGTCCTAACACACGCGCGCGGAAGAGAATCAGGCTTCCAGCGCAGACTGGTTTTCGCCAAACACTGAGCCTCCATGAAACCTTCCTCGTTCTCTCTTGGCCACAGGCACAATGCATTCTCCTCCAGTCTGAAATTTACCACATTTTTTGGAAAAGAAAACCACCAGCCCCACATCTTGCATATTATTATAGCTCAGTAACAGACAAAAACAGCACTCCGTGTTTCCAATGTCTTTCACTGTATGCTGGTCAGTGTTTCATGCACCGCTGTGTGTTCATGCAGGGGGTGAGCTCAGCGTTCAGCATGGCCTTCCAACACATCCTGACCCAGAGGAACATCCTGCGCATCGTTGACAGCGCCACCTACTGGCTGCACAGCAGAGTGCTGGGTGTCCACAACATCACCACCTATCTTATGGAGTCAACTGGGGAGCAGGTAGTCCAGCACTCTAAGACTGTCATCACCTCTAAAAAGGATCAATACAAATATAAAAGAATTCGACTCAACAAAGAGCTGACCGGTTCATCTAGCACATGTCATCCAATACCCAGATCTGCACAACACAATTAAAACAATCACTGGCGAATGAAAGAATATCTACAAAAAAGGTTGACAAATATTTCACAGAAGGCATTTTGAGGAGTTCACCATTTGGGTAATCCCCTCCCAATGCCTCCTGGGTTATGAGGACGATACCCTTCAGGTCTTCCGTTAGTTTTGTCCATGTTTTTCCGCACTCTGCTCAGCCCTGGTGCCTCTCTTGTCCTGGCAGGGCGGTAGCTACGCCTTGAGGAAGATGATGATGATGGACAGCGAGACCGGCCACTCTCGGCTGCTCTCCGCCCCCTCCTCCCTGCGCCGCTCCGATCACCTGTTCAGGTAATGTTTACGCCGTTGCTTCGCGGTGCCAGTGCACGGCAGAGCGTTTAAGGAGGAACACAGTAAGGCTCGGCTATGAACGCCTTCACCCTCTCCCTGGGCATCTGTGCTGGGTGTGACCTAGAAAGCTGCCTGGTTACTGTCACGGCTTTGTAATCAGATCCTATGGGAGTCTGGAGGAAAGGGAGACGGGGGGAGACAAGGGATTATTCGTGCTGCAGACGGGGACAGACCGTGCAGCGGGTCACAGGGGAAAAGACACAGGGATCCAAATCCAAACGGGTCCATAGGCGAGTCAGGGCACCGTCCCGGAGTCCGAATCCCCAGAAATCCATCCAACCGGCGACTCCAGGTTAAAATCCCCGGGAAGGGGAAAAGCGGACATGACAAGACCTTGGAATCACGGGGCGAGGTCCTCCAAGCCCCGGGCTCAGGATGCGGGAGATAGCGGGGATGAGGGCTGTGCCCTCAGGCCACGGACGTGGGGCGACCTGGTGCCAGGGGGGCCTCACGACATCCATGCTGAGCCCTGAGCACTGGAGGCAATGGGATTAAATAGAGAGACTAACATGACACACCGGGAGGACATCAACAATCGCAGGGAGCAGGGGACAAGAGAGTAGTGGAGCGCCCTCTAGAGGAGGGATGTTGACCGTGACAGTTACTACCTGTTCACAGGGAAAAGTAGCCGACTAAAAGCACCTTTCTGTATTCTAGTACTGTTTCTCCCACAGAAGTATGAGCACAATCAGTCCTGTGCCCTGGTGCGCATTAGAACACTGTCACTCTGGGATTCTGGGACAGTCAGATAATCCCGGTCCGTCTCCTCTCTCTCCGCAGGGACTACCTGTTCCGGTGCTGCGACAGCTCGGAGCCGCTGCGCTGTGTGGCGTACGGGGAGCACAGGCTGGCGGTGCCCCTGCGGGACCCCGGCGGCCGCGCGCTGGGCGTGCTGGACATCAGCTGCGGCCCGCGGGGGGCGCTGCAGCCCCACGAGGGCAGGGACCTGCGGGCCATGGTGCGCATGGTGCAGGCCGCCTGCTGCCAGGTGGTGAGGGAGAGCTCTGGCCTGGCGAGACCCGCGTGCCTGCTGGGTACGGCCCCAAGCCCTGTGTCCCATCCTCCTACAGCAGGGGGCCCCCACCTTTTTTCTCAGCTGAACCCCTTCAACCTAAATAAGTCCCCCCTTGAAATATGACCAAAATCAAACCTTTCAATTCATGTAGATAAATGCTACAGCAACCCTTTTAACATGCTTCCTTTCACTTTGTAAAAAAAATAATATTACTCCTGCTGTTTTTCTTTTTCTCAGTATTACATTGTTATTTATTAATAGGACTATTTAATTTAACATTGACGTTTCCATCACAATCTCATGAACCCCTGTCCTACAGTAATGACACTTCTGTGGTGCAACTACACTCATACCCCAGTACAAGAACGTTCAGTAAACGATTTTTCACTCATCTGAACGTGAAGAATTTATATCTTGCAATTCGTTACGAGAACAAAATTTGGCAAATCCGAGCTTTGAGGTTCGAAAGTGTCCGATTTTGGCCCAGAACCTTTTGCGAACAGTCGAATTCGGCCCCACCCAACGGCTGTGTGTTTCTGCCCGGGGGCCAGGCATTGTGGTTAAGGACGCCGGGAAGCAGCAGTGCTTTGTTTATGTGCTCTCATTGTCAAAGTGTTTTTTTGTGCGTTTGTTTTGTAGTTGCTGTTCATTATGGGGTCTTAAGGAAGAGAAAAGGATTCTTTAGGGTAATAGTCAACAACAGTGTGCACGTCATTCTAGCCAATCGCTTGGATAGCGATCTATTACGAAATAATGAAAAATGTAAATATGATATAATTAATTATTTTACAGCTAAAGGTGGCTTATTTGAGTAGAACTGCGTTGTTCACTAAGCTCGCTATAATGGTCTGTATGGTATTATATATTTAGAGTGGTTTTTCAGTGAACTTGTCTTTGGTTTGGAGCACGCTGGAATTTTTATTTTTGATTTATGATCTCCCGCCTTCCAGGCAGATTTTCAGGAACGAATTAGGTTCGGATACCGGGGTATGAGTGTACTATGCAGCTGTTCGATCATCTGCAGCAGATCCAGCCCCATAGACAAGGCCGAGCCTTGACAAGTTTGTGTCTCCTCCCTTCTGAGCTTGCTGTTGTGTTGCAGTTCCATCGTCTGTTACGTCAATGTTGCTCATTCTAATGTGGTACACTGATGATGATGGCAACCTGAAGGCTTACCAGATGCTCAGTATTTGGTATTTGCCTTCCAGGATGTACGGAACGTCCAAAAATAACCTTTTTGTTCGCATGGGGAACTTCCGAGTGTGTGTTTCCTCCCACACTCCAAAGACATGCTGGTTGACTGGCTTCTGGGAAGATGGGCCCTGGTGTGAGTGTGCCCTGTAATGGACGGGCGTTTGGTCCAGGGTGTACCCTGCCGTGCCCCTCGCTTGCCAGGATAGGCTCTGGCTCTCCCACAACCCTGTAACGGATGCAGTTTCAGGCTCAAAACAAAGTTGTTGTATGAGGTTCAGTGACAAAAGGAGTGTGTGGCTGCTGTCCTGTGCTGTGCCTGTTGGGCAGCGGATATTGACCACTCTCCCTCCCCCCCCCCCACACAGAGGCAGAGGGTGTTGGCGGGGAGCAGCGCGTTGCGTTGCTCTTCCTGCGCTTCATGCTGCAGGACCTGCGCGGCTGCGTGCGGCAGCTCGACCACCAATCGTTTGCTGAGCTCAAGAGCTACAACGACCCGCCCACTGTTGTCCATCACGTGCTGAAGGCGGTGCTTCTGATGCTCCACCCACAGTGGGTGGGGACTCCTGAGATTGACAGCTGGAGCCAGTGCAGACTCGTAAGAGACCGGGAATACGGTGATGTTGCATTGTGATGTCGCTGTGCGTTCAGGTCTCTCGCTCTGACGTGCCGGTGTTTCTCTGTGCTGCTCCCTCAGAAGGTGAACAGTGACCTCACCAGGAAAGTGGCCCTTTTCGACCCGACGGCCAGCTCCGTGCAGGCGGACTGTGAGCAGCTGCAGCGATGCCTGGCAGGTAGGTCCATCTCCAGGCACGACTCTGCTTCCTGCAGCCCAGGACCAGCTCTGAGCGTCTGCGTGTCTCTGTTGCAGCTGTCCCCCGCGGAGAGGTGTGGAGGCATGGGTCCGTCCCCACGGAGCACCTCTATAACTGGGTGTCCGTGTGCCTGTCCCTGCTGGAGCAGGGCAGCCGGCTGAGGCAGGTCCAGACACCCCCCAGCTCCCCCCTGGGCGCCACTGAGGAGCAGCCGGCTTGACAGACAGGCAGCTGGATTATTTCAGAACCGGACTCCCCCCTCTACCACGCTCCGGAGTGTGTGGCAGATAGGATCAGTTCATAACTGTCATCTTTCCAATAAAAGCTGAATATTAAACTTTTGACAGTGTCTCTGGGACAATTTATATGAGTTTTGTTGTCATTTCATGCTATAATAACTGTTATTATTACTATTACAGAGATTAGCAACTTTCCACATGAAATACAGAGCCTACATTCTCCTCTGCAACCTGTATTTTTTTTTATTACAAGTCCTTTATTTTGCTTCAGTGATGACAATTCTATAGTGATAATATACACTAAGATATATATATATAAGCATTTTAATCTATAAAATAAAACTTTCAGGTAAAAATATCCATTATTTAAAAATGGTTTAATACAATACAGACATTTTCTTTGCAGTTATGTCATATAAAAATGTAGTGCTTTACAGACTTTATAGAAATCTTTCTTTATAAAAACTTAATAGAAAAACAAAGCTCAATGAAGCTTTCTATGACATCCATTACTTCCATTTATAAAGTTGGCACAGAATTTCTTATGTGATATATAACTATGACATGAAATTATTTGAATATTAGGACTCTGGTGGAAACCATTACCAATGCTTTTAAGTCAGAGGGCAGTGCCTCAGAAGAACTGTGGGTAATAAAGTTCTTAATCTCCCCCGGGTGTGTCCTCTCTTATGTGATCCTATTGGCTGTTAGGGAAAGTTCCTCACCCCCGCTGCCCCGCCTCCTGCATGCTCCTGGTGGCGTGTATACAATGGCTGCCATGGCAACAGCGAGAAGCAGCAGGGCCAGGATGGTGCCGACAGTCAGGCCTAGAGGACACACAGACAGGACCAGTGACTCCAGGATCATCACCAAAGAGCATGCAGGTGTGACACTTGAACCTATCTTATTCAAGTCAGGTTTGCAGCATCCGTCTGGATCACAGGCTGAGTCCTGTAGTCCAGACACTACCTGCTACAGCCTGGGCTATGACATTTGTCCGTTCTGACAGGGATTTCCACTTGCATTGGAACAGCAGACAGGTCTGCGACAGTGGAGCAGCTGACAGATGTGACAGTGAAGCAGCAGACAGGCCTGTGACACTGAAACAGCAGACAGGCCTGTGACAGTGAAGCAGCAGACAGGTCTGCGACACTGAAACAGCAGACAGGTCTGCGACAGTGGAGCAGCAGGCAGGTCAGCGACAGTGGAGCAGCAGGCAGGTCAGCGACAGTGGAGCAGCAGACAGATGTGACAGTGGAGCAGCAGACAG